GCTAAAAAAATAAAAAAAAATAAAAAATCTAAACAGTAAGAGCAGGGGCATCATTGCCAGCAAGACCAAGGAGATCATCGCCAATGGGGCAGGAGGATAGTCTGCAGCGGGAGTCTTGGTAGCCTCTTTAGGGGTAGGAGCCGACATATCCTTTAGAGGCTCGACCAAAAGAAGGTCAACACAATAGGCAAGAGTATAGCTAGAGGAGGCAGATCTTCAACCTCTTGCTTTACATCAGCCTCCTCCTCTCTCTCCTCGACCTCCTCCTCACCTTCGCCGTCAGAATCAAAGTCATTCGAATAAACGTACTTCATGCCCTAGGCCTCAATCTTCATCTTGTCGACTTCCTTCTGATAAGCCCTTGGAAGGAAGGAAAAGTCGAGCAAGGGATGAGCTTCCCACAACTTCAGCACAAGGAAGATCGAAGTTTCCTACGCACAACTCGTCATGGCCAAGTTCAGCTCCTGGACATCGAGCTTGAGTTGTCCAACCTTAGCCTCGACCCTTTTGCGACCTTCCACCTCCTTGGTAAGCTTGAGCGAGACCTTCTCATACTTGGCCTCCTAGTCCGAGGTAGCCTTCTAAGTTAAGGTAACTTTAGAATTAAGCTTGTTGTTGGCACCCCGCTGTTGTGCTAAGCTCTTCTCAGCCTCGACTATTTTGGTCTCAACCTTTGCTCGAGTGGTCTTGCTCACCTTGATTTTGTCAAGGAACTTTATTTCCTTGACCTCAAAGGCCTTGACCTTTTCCTTAAGCCACTCAAGCTTGGCCTGCTTTAAGTCATTCTCTCTCTGCCACCTCGACCCTAGCCAAGGCATCCTCCTTCAGCTTCTCAGCCTCTTGTCACCTCAAGTGAATACCCTCCAATGTGGGATAACTCTCATCGAAGAGAAGCTTGGTCACCACGCAAGCTTGAAAAGAAAGGAAAGTCGATAAAAAAGAAGGAGAAGCATATAAAAAGGAAAAGGGGGCGAACTGTTAATACCTTAGTCACATAGCTACATGCTAGAGCAAGCTGCTAGTGAGGAGACGGGTCTCTAAGACCCGCAAAATTCTGCGGGATGACAGCATCCCTAACCGCTGAGGCCCCAAAGCCGATTGGCTCGGGGAGCTCATTGATTATTGTACTGAGCGTAGCCCAAGCTGCCTCGTCCACCTTCTTATCTCCATGTTGAGAAAAGCTTGAATTACTTCCAACGGGAATGACAGCTTCACCCATAGGAACATACTACTTGCCAAGTCCTTGGTCAAAACTCTCTTCGGTCCACCAACATGCCCTATAACCTCTTTGCCTAAGCCACCTTGTTGCTCAGCAGCTTTCTGCTTTCTTGAGCCCCCGTGCGGCTTGATCGTTTTCTTCTAACCAGAGTCATCATGTTATTTAGGCATCTTATGCTTCCCTAAGCCTTCAGCGGACTTAGGGGTTTTCTTCGTCAGGCTCTTTTGGAGCTTAAGGGCAACCTTTTCCCCAATTGCCTTGAAGGCAATCAAAGGCTTCTTGACACTTGGGTCTTCCCCAAGCTCGCCACCGCTGCACTTGAGGACCGGGCACGAGGCACCCTACCCGAGCTTCCTAATAATATCAACGAGCTGCTTCTTTGTCGGAGCGACTAGAAGTTTCTTGGTAGTCCTAGGTGCTATCATCTTTAGGTGCTATCATCTTCTTCTTTGGGCCCTTGGGTTTTTTCGACCCACATATTTGTGAAGGAGACAAATAGTTAGCGACCTAATAGAGCCAAAAAAAACAAAAAATAAAAAAAAAGCGAGCAAGTAACTACTTACCTTTCTCAAAAATGGTGTTGAATTTGGCGTCGCAGCACAAAAGTCGTACTCTCTCAACTGAGGAAGCGTGATAAGCTTGACAACGTTGCACCTGTCATAAGAGAGATTGCTAAAACGCTGAAGCCGCTCTAAACTCGCTTTAGGAAGAAAGTTTTGCTTGACGTTAACTGCAAAGCAAAAGGACTTGGTTAATTCGACGGTCGAGCTTCGAAACATTCTTTGCACACTTAAGGGTCATAACCTTATTAGCTTCTAGAGCAAAGATGTCGATGTCCCCGATCTCGTGAAAAAAATATTGAGAGTCCTAGTACGAAACTTTCTTTGGGACGTCGACCAAACCATTAAAATGTACCTTTCTTGACTTTGAGAGATAGTATTTTTGGTCCTGACTCTTTTTCAATCTATACAAATGGATGAGCTCCTCTATATATAGCTCGCCCAAGTTAGCTACTTGGTACGCTATATACATGCCTACTATCATTATGTACGATCTCGTCGACAGTTGAAGGGGAACGATACCAAACCGTTCCAAAACATTGGTGATGAATTAATAAGGGAGAATGGACATCCCACACCTCAAGATGGTATCAAGGACCGCCACACGACCGACGGGAGGATTTTTCTAAGAGAAGCCTCCTGGAGCCCTTAGGGAAAGTTGAGGCACATAAACTTTAGTTATGCGCTCAATATCCTTCGCCCCAATCGAGGAATGTGGTTCCTTCTAGGGCCTATGGGCTGGAGATTTCTTCAACTGAGAAATCTCCATTGAAGCATGATTAGAAGAGTATGCCGTATCGAGGTCCAAGCTCCGCACAACAACATCCTTGGAAACCTTAGGGATTACATCCCCGAGAACTATTGAGCTTGCTAGAGAGTCAAACATGCGGTCAATGTTGTGGTAACTCAATGAAGACATGGTGAAAGCTCGCCTCTGGGTACCTAAAATAAAAGTGAACAAGTGTCAAAGCTCAAAAATTCGGTAACTTATCCACACTTTGCTTTCAGTTCAGGCACCTAGGGTAGCTCGTGTCGGACAATAGACACAAGCGAACTACCAAGAATGCAGTAGCTACCTCCTTAAACCCTCCTTAAACCCAGAACTGACGGAAGCACACTAAAAAAAACCCTAAAAAAGCCCTAAAAAGCTTAATGTAACCACGACAATGACCACCCTCAACCGCAAAAGGTGTAAAAATAAGTAAATGAGGGAAAATAAGCCTTATCGAAGTGTAAAGATGGAAGAAACTTGCCGGAAAAGCACTGTAAAATCGAAAGAGCAATGATAGAGTAAGCAAAGAAATCTGGAAACTTTGCAAAGTGTATAGGATTTCTAACGAAGTTGTCCGCTTTTATAGTGGTTTTCATGGGAGACGAAGGGACAAGATTTGACCATAGGCCTCGATCTATAGGGAATCTCAACCCTCCATTCGTCGAACAATCCTGACCATTAGACGTGGCCATGTGTCAATCATCCGCGAGGGTCGATCAACCGACAGACTGCCACAATCATAACCGTCATCTCACATCGCCTTGACTTCACGCATGGGCAGCTGTAGTCACCCATGCACGACGAAAAGTAACTACCAAAGGCTGCTGCATTTAATGCGACATGACCGCATGGAAGTTACACATATGCCCTTCATTACAAATTTCGAGTTTGTCAAGAATATCACAGCAGAGGAAAAGCCAAGTGTTGAGTATGTTGACCGGAGATGAGTCCGACTCATGAAAGTTGATCAGATCTGCATTCAGCGCACAACCAATGAAGCATGAGCTTGATATCAAATAGAGCAATAGTCTTCGAAGCTCGAAACGAACATCGATCACTAAGGGCAGATGTTGTGTGTGATTTTGCCATCAAACTCGGAGAAGTCAGAGGTTAGAGAGGTTATAGCCCGATTCAGAATCAGCTTGACTCAATCGATTGTCCGACCAAGCATAAAATCGTCGAGATGTAGCTCGACCCCAGCATAAGCTAGTCATGACATATTTCGACAATTATTCAACCAGCTCACAGATAACCTTAGATCCCCGATATCTCGGAATGGATCATATCGACAACAATCTTGGTGCAATCTCAACACTCAACCACGAGAATACTGGAGTTGCATTTCAATCTTAATTGTAATCTCTTTATTTTCGCTCTTTCCTTTATACAAAATCTGTATATAAACCCCCTCCAACATGAGAAAGGGGTTAGCAAATTTTTCTAGGATTATTATTGTAAGCTCTCATAGCAAATACAAAAACAGTGGACATAGGCTCAAGAGTATAACTCACTGAACCACTTTAAAAACTCTTTGTGTCATTTACTTTACTATTTTTAATTCATTACATTGTTAGTTACCCGTAATCACACACATCGGTTTCAATTCCGTCAAAGTCAATCAGATCGCTCTAGTTGGTGCAAAATCTTGTATCAACAATTTGGATTGTGTTTCTTTTTATTTATTTTCTACTTTTTAATATCCAATAATATGAATATTCTTTTTAAAATCCTTTTGGAAAACACTTGAAAATATTTCAATAATGGCCTGAGCTGAATCTTTATCTGAACAAGGCCCAGCCCAATTACTGATGAACCCAGTAGGGACCTCTTCATATTTATTGGAAGCTTTGTGACCTGGAATCCAGAAAAATTGTGAGCCATGATGCTGGATATTTGCAGGGAACAACTACTCAAACCGCATAATCGCCTCACAATGTCACAAACTCAAGGGCAAGGCTGCCAAAATTTTCATGGAAATAAAAAAACAGAGCTCATTACCATTATCATATTTAAATTGTCTTTTTCCCTAGAAATAGAGTAGTGTATAATTAAAAGCAAAAGCGAAAATAAAATCAGCCTGCGGTTAAATATCATTTTAACAAGTAATCATAATGGATTAATTCTATTTAATTGATTGAAAATGTAAATATATTTTTCTAAAAGATGCGTTGGAGGAGGAGGGAAATGCGTATGATTACGTGTCAGCATCACGTTCGTCATCATAACCCAAAACGGGAAAATGAAGGGTCCTAGATTTGGGCATGTTGAAGCGCGTTTACCACACGTTCCATTAACTCACGTCATCTACATCTAGTAGTAGTATCCTCGATGGCCTTTGGTCAGGTCCTTTTCATCATTGCTTACAATACCAGTTCTCAATGCCATTCTTATTTAATTCCAAAGATTTTCATTTTTCAATAATAAACGCCATTTCTATTTTAGAACAACACAAAAATACAACATAATATAACATAATTAATTAATTACATTTTCTTTTAAGGAATTCCAGGGATAAATCGTTTACACTCCGACAAGGACTTCTGATCACCACCTTGACAAAAGAAGAAAGAAAATGAACACCGGTACAAGCAATTATCGGCCAACCTGATATTAGCAGAACCCGGTTGGAGCCCCATTAACAGACCGGGTATGGGTCCAAACAAGTAGTTTCCTCCAAGCAATAGCCTCTCAAATGGAGCCACTCCAGATCCGGGTTTAACTACCTTTATCGCGTACTGGCTTGGTATCATACCGGTGAACTGGTTGTTTTCTAGAGATAATGCAGAAAGAGTTGGCATTAAACCCAAGAACAAAGGAAGTAAACCTCGAAGCTCGTTGTTGCTTAAGTCGACGGATATGAGCTGGCTTTGAACGGTGGTTAAGATACTGGGTGATTGTAGGGAGGTGAAATGGTTAAATGAGAGAGTGAGTTGTTGGAGAGAAGGATGGTTAAAAATAAATAAAGGCACTGAGCCACTGAGTTTGTTGTTACTTAGATCCATCACCTGCAAAGAAGTCAAATATTTTAAACTTTCTGGTACTGTTCCTTCTAACTTGTTGTTTCTCATTGAGATTTGAACCAGAGAACTTGGTAGTGTTGCTGGTACTTGTCCAGATATTGCATTGTCGCTCGCGTCTAAAAAATAAAGGTTTTTGAGAGAACTCAGCTCAGGAAACTCACCGGTGAACTTGTTTGATTGTATTTCGAGCCTTTTCAAGCTAGACAAACCATTGAAACTCGCAGGAATTCTGCCTTCAATGTTGTTGTTATCAAGGTAAAGCTCTTCTAACCTAGAGAGTGACCCAATCGAGGCGGGTATTGCACCAGAAAACACGTTTCTTGACAGGCCGAGTCGAATCAACCGAGTCAGATTGGATAACGAGTCAGGAATAAACCCTGAGAAATAGTTGTTTGAGAGGTCGAGTGTTTCTAAACAAGGAAGGTTCCAAGAAACCGAAGACAATGAACCAGAGTAACCCGCTTGGTCAAGACTGAGCTCAGTGACCCGGCTCAACTTGGAAACTACAAGGTCGCACCTGAACCCACAAGTGAATTTCTCACTGAAAAGGTTGTCGCATGGATCAACAGAGAAGTCCCACGAGCTCAAGCATGAACCAGGAGTCACTGATTTGGGGTCGAGCGAGTTCTTTAGCTCTTTCAGAACCTCAACGTCTGCCCAGTAGGTCTTTGACTCAACAATGACCAACAGCCATGCAACTGAGGCTATTAACAGAAGTAGAGAAGACAGAGAGAAACTTAGAGAAGCCATTAGATTATTTCCACACGGAAAATAAAATTGAATGGAATTTTTTCAGTGACTGTGAGAGTGTTTGAGATAAGGAAAATAGTTGCAGAAAAAGAGAGAATCAGGACCATCCGTTTATGGGGGTGAGAGGATCTAGTACAAGTGGGGAAGACAGAGAAATGGGTTGTGTTGCCACTTCAACTCAGTTTGGGTCAGAGATCTTTTTGTGAGTGGTTTCACGGGCAAGTGTCAGAACCTTATATAATGCTCCGAATTTAAATTTGAACGTACGTATATGCTTCAAGAGTGAGAGAGAGAGAGATGAAGTTGCATATATTAGCGACACCTTGAATTATTGAGTTAGTACGTCTGTTGTATTGGCTCAGGTCAATTGCTTTCTGTTGAGGTGTCATCGTTGTTTATCATCCACCATAGACCGATGAAACAGAGTGAAAATGGAGCTAATTAATCGCTCCAAGCACTTGGGAAACAAGAGCTTTATTTTATTACTTTGAAATTGGGATATCGACTCTAGGGCTCAACATTTCAATCATCATATATAGCAGGCTATTTGAGATCCATCAATGAAGAAAAAGAGAAGTGTTGAGTATTTACTGAAACAATATCTAGCTAATTAAAAAGTAGAGCAATAATATCAGTCGTCTTATTGGTCAAAAAATTGTAGCTTTACATTAATTTCACATGGGAATTGGTTGGGGTCTATGTACGATGTCGCAGGGCGTAGGGAAATATGTGATAAAAACTTCAAAACACTTGTCCCAATGGATGGAGCAAACTGTACATGAAAGTTTTGGCCTTTAATTTTGGTATGCAAATCCTGAAATAGTAATTAACAGCAGACCCAATTAAAAGTTTTATGAGGAGGCAAAGGGAAATGGAGGTGGCCGTTAGAATCAAATGCCAGCATATATTACACCTTCTACAGATACAGTTGTTACAACATCTTCAAAGTTGATGAATAATGGCATCTGGTTCTTATGTAAAAGTTGGTGGTTGTATTATATTTTTTTACATATATTATTGCTAATTGCTAACAAAACTTTCGAAAGTCTCATCATTTCCAGCATGTAGATTCTCATAATTAGGTACACCCAAAAAAAATCGATTAAGTTGTTCATTTTTGGGCTCAGTTTTTCTTTGTTTTGGGTCCCCTGGTGGTTTGTTGGGTTGTTTAATGGTTAGAGCCATTATTCTATTAATCTAAAAACATAAGAAAGTTTAACAACAATATTCTATATGCATTAACATTAAATTACTATAAATTATTCATCTTTCTTACAACAAAAGGCAACTGTAAAGGCGTAGAAATGGAAACATTTTTTATAGGAACTAGATGCAGAGGTTGCGTGAATTAGAATCAAATCCATACTTTAATAAATTTCCTCTTTCTCATCCTTTAAACTTAAGAGTTTGGAATGCACTTGATATACACCACTTATATGATTTGGCCATACACAAATGCATTACCCACTAATTGGACAAGTGGAGCAAAGAAATTGAGAATTGAACTAGTAAGGTAGTATAATTATAAAGAGTAATGTTAGGTCTACAACTCAATCTCACAATTCTCTTTTACACCTCTCGATGTGACAGTTTACAATTGGTTAATTAACAAAATAAGTCTTGTCTGCTTGTTATGAGTCCTACTTAACCAATTGCAAGCTTAATCGAGGGTTGTGAGAGATGATTGTGAGATTGAGTGATGGTCGCAACAAACTAGCATTATTGTTGTGTAAGACTTGACCACCTTCTAGAAGTAGTATAGTATAATTGAGATCCAGTAGCAACGGCTATTAACAGCAGAAACAGTTTGAAACGTTAGGTATCTGAAGAGCCAGCTCTACAAAAATCTGACACATTAAAGTTTCTAAATTTGTTTATGACCAAGCGGCAACAAAACTGAATATCCTAGCAAGAACAAGATTAAAATTAAACCTCTTTCTCATGGGTACGCCACAATTACAAACATCTGAATTAGTCAATTAAAATAGTGGATATATATTATAAAAAAATAAATATAAAAGAAAAAACGATTCATAATAAGCTATAAGCTATATATTATCTCCCTCACTATTCTTTTCTATATTTTTTAAGGGGAGCCATAAACCTGCACAATAGATACAAACATCTTTACATTCCTTCTTTAATATTATAGCATCAAGTGCCTTCTACAATTCTATACACCAATTGACCTACACACAGATGCCATGTCCCTACCATATCTGTTAATTCTACCAAGAGTCCAATTAGTATTTTAGAGAAACTACTACTAAGAAATGCAACCCACTAATTCTGCCTTTCACAAATCATGGAACCCTATCTTTAGACCATTCAAAATTGGCATTCTTTTCTTGGTTTCTTCTCGTGACGGCAGCCAGATATCGCCTTACATTTTCTTGATTTATTTCAAACATGAATGACAATTCTGTGATCTGCAAATACACCCTTTGCCATTTATATATTGCATTGTCAAGGCATTAAAAGATGTACACTTATAGTAATCATAAACTGGAATAAACAGCATATATATAATCTGTGAGATACATGGGCAGCATAATGACACAATCTATGAAGATGGAATCAACATACCTGAATCAAAGTACTTGGACTTAGACCGAAACCCTGGCCAGTAGTAATTTCTTTGCCATTCAAAAATATAGAACTCCGACCAAGATTTCTCAAAATGAAGGAGCCATCTTCTTCCATCTTTATCAGTGCCTAGCAGAAACCGATTCAACAGTATAGAGTGAACATAGGATATCCAAGAAGCTAAAACAAGTATTTAGTAACCATCTAAGCAGCATTTTGTCCCCAAAATCTATTGAAATATGTTGATCAGATAATATAGTGGTCTCTTGCAAATAGAACCATATCCATGTGCATGATGTCCATTAAATTATTTAAAAATTGCTATGTTTCTCTAAGTAACAATCAACAATATCGCTCAAGTCTTTGCAACCAAAAAAAATTGAAATTTGGCATATAATCAAATTAAAAGAACTACAACCTGTCGTCTAGATATTTTGTTGGCACGTCCTTCTCTTCCCAAGTCAATATCGACATCAACATCATCTGTTGCCCTGCCAAGTATGACCTACAGAGTTGAAAAGAGGTTGCACTGTAAGAAGGAAAATTTTGCTTTAATATTGCTATTAAATGCAGGAATAGAAAAATACAGAAGTGTATGTAACAGATAACATGCCAATGTTGCCAATGTCATGGTGTTAAATTTTGACTAGTCAACTTTTTTTATTTACAACTTGAATTTAAAGACTCCTACATTACTAAAAATATTAATCGATTGGCAAACTAAGCAGAATTCATTTTTAAAATGCAAATAACAAATAGAAAAGAGTAAACAGGCTTAAACTTTACTCTAGTCAATAGGAAGTAAAAACATGAAATTGTATAGGCAGATCATTCAGTAAATATAACCTAGACTGCTTGCATCTTGCTCCTTGCAAGACTAGTATTGAAGTTCCTATCTTCTTGTGGTTCTAGTACAGTCACTGCTGGAACTGTTGAGGCATATTCAAAAACACATCATAATCAAATCAATTAAATGTTCAATCTAGATCATCATGTCACTAACCTCCTAACTAATGAATTTCCACTTGCAATCTCAAGAATCATTTATTGCCAAATGATTAAACTACAAAGAGATATAAAGAACAAGATATAACTATATCTAAAACAAATGTTTTATTCCTAAGTTAGACCATCCTTGAATTATACAATTGAGCAAGAAAAGGTGAAAATTAGAAGAATTTACCTCAGTTTCCTTAATATACTGCTTCAAATGGCGTCCGTACAGGAGGGCAAGTGCCCCTTGGTATCCAATTGCTCTTTGCACACAAGATTGAGCACATTGCTCCAATCTAATGATTGTCCTCTTAGTATCGTCATGTTGATACCTTGACACTGGAAATTTGAAGGAAAGAAAATCAACTCAAAATTACTATGGTTGCAGCCACAATGTCACATGTATTATACTGTCATTCTCTGCATTGAAGAACATGACCATTTGGAAATAAAAACCACAATAAGGCCATATATTATAATCAAGTGTGTGAGCGTTAAAACTGTGGAGTTCATAACAATATATTACTGCATATTGAAAAAGGTTAGACAGAAGCAGAATAATATATCATAAATTGATAATAGAACTGAACTCTAGATGAGTCACCTTCTGTACTATAACATGTATCAAGATTTTCTGGACACAAATCCAAATCAAGTATCTGAGAGGAAACATAAAAAGTTACAAAATGTCAAAACTGACAAAAATAAATAAATAAATAAATAAAGAAGGAAAAAATATTAATCCCCTCAATAATTGTAAGATTTACCATTGATTCAATATCAGAAAAGTCTGGAATGTGATCATCACTCTCATATTCTTCTTCATCCAGCCTGGCTTCTGGATCTAAGGTGGAGGGGTTTGCTTCTCGTTCAGGAATATTGTTTCTACTGGAACTAGATTTTGCATGTAACAACACATCTGAAGCAGAACTTGCATGTAGCGACTTTTCCTTCAGTCTTGCATGGGTAAGAGATGTTTGGGCTGAAAGTGCTGATCTGTATTGGATAAGATCTTCATGAGCATTGTTAGCCTGTTTGGAGATACTATTAAGACTGTCAACATCAGTAGACTTGGATTTGACTCCTGTACTACAAAGTCGAGGGTTGTGCTTGGGTTGTGGAAACATGTCTGATACTCTTGTGCGGGAAGCAGTAAAATATTGTGTAGAACTGTTGTCTTTCTTCATTCTTCCTAGCTTTTGTTCACGATCCTTATGAGCATCAAACGAGGAAGCCAGTTCACTTGCCCCTTTATAACTTGTTTGTGGAGCCAAAGAAGCGACTACTTTACTTGGGATAAAATCATCATTGCAAGGAATTTCTGTGTCCTCACTGTTCAATGTGCAGAATATCTCCCCATCCAGCAGGTCATGAGATGGGGGATTGGGTCTTGACATAGATGATGGTACATTGACTTCTGAACAAAAAATATTATGTTGATTGCCATGACTCATACTTGATTGTTCAGCAATAACCCCCAATTCTGCAAGATTTGAACCATCAGGCATCGCAAGGCATGTATGAGGTTCTTTAACATCAGGTACATCATCTCTATGGATGTCATGAGGAGAACTCAATACTATTGGATTAAAGTTATCATGGCAAGACTTATCAATTGAGTTTTTCTCGTCCGCATCAATGAAATGAAGCTCCTCTTCATTCCCAAAGTTTAAAAGAGAGTCTGAAAGATCCACTAAATCAAATTCTGGGTTGGTAGGTAAAACTATTCTCCTCTCATTCATGTCATCTGGAAGTATATATGTCTCTACTGAACTCTGACCTTCACCTCCATGGCTCATATTGATAGGCATTGCAGGTGGTGGAATAAACTCCATTGTTTTCCAGAGAGGTGTCCTAGTCTGTGGAGATGAATATCCCAATACATGAAAAGGAGCATCATTTTCTAGCAATGCATCTGAGGGTTTCATTCCCTCAACAACTGGGCAATTTTCAAAGCCAATCAATCTCTCTCCCAGATTATGTGCTGAATCTTCATGCACATTTTCCTGCTCATAAATGGGATGCCCTACCGAATCTTTAATGAAATTATTATCTTGTGGTCCGTGATGCAAGTAATCTATATCCATTTCCTGTAACTCAAAACAGTTCTGGACAGAATCTCCAAGCATGGAACTTTCAACTGGAGTATCATAATGAAAGCTTGCATGCTCTTGATAAGCAGTACCATCTCCAATACCATCACTCATCTTTGGTGAAGCCAAAAAACCAAGTTTAGGAGAGTTCAAATACTGGATACAAGTTCTTTTCCGCAAGGCATAATACAGTCTTCGAACACTCTCGGCTTTCCTTTTTGGAGGAGCTCCTGAATGGTCCCCAGCAGCACCAGACCTAAGTGACTTTGCTTGATTATTAGCAGCAGAAAATTCAAACTCTGCCATATGAGCAGCAGCTTCTGCTGCAATAACAGGGTCATAGAGGAGAGAATGCCACCGATGTTGCAATTCTGCTATGGAAAACTTGCGGGAAAATCTCACTGCGCCTTTAGCAAGTGCTTCCAGAGAAGCACCTGCCTGAAGTAGCAAAAGAAATGTATCAGTGAATTAAAGATTTATCCTAACATTAAGTATATGCTTTATGCAGAAATAGCAACAGAAAATGTCCCGAGGTGCAAAGCCATCCACAAGGTGTTTGATTATTGGTTACACTATACTATACTAGCTCCGGTAACCAAGTGTTTAGTGGAAGCTTAGGAATTGAGGGTTTTGCTACATCACTGGGAGGTGTACATTAATGGAACAGCTATTTAGCAATATAGGCACCACAGTACTAACATTAAACATAAAATAGTGTGACGCTGTTTATTACAAGAAACCTGTTCCGGTAACTTAAATAGGAGCAAAATTCTGAAACAGAATGAAATTGGGACGCCACCTAAGTGTTTCTGAAGAACACCACTTCCAATTTCATCCTAACACATTTCAGTTACAGAAATCCATGCCGGCAAACGCAGTCTTCGAACCATAATCGCTTTAAAGAAACTTAATAGTATTCACACAGTATAAACATTATGACTAAGGTGAACACAGGTGACAGTAACATAACCAAAATTTCAGTTGCAACGTTAATATCAACACAAAATTACACGGAAAATTCAAAATTATATCAACCGTAGATTCGATTTCCTAATAGCTAATCAATGCGTTTGTCAAGAATAAACCTAGGGTTTTTTTCTACTAAAATATGCAGAGTAATTTAGAAGCTAAACAAAAAATGAAGTACCTCCACAGCGTTCTTTAACAGGATGTCATCTTCAGGGATCCATGAAGACACTGAAGCGGCATAAGCTGCCATGTGTCAGATAGATTTTACAGCAAAAACTGAAGTGGACCAAAAATGATTCAATCTATAGGAGTGGAATTGGGGGTTTCCATGAAAATAAACTTAGAATTGAAGAAGAGAGGTGGAAGAAAGTGAATTATGAGAGGTAGTACAACTAGAAGAGAGGCACTGAGGCAGTGATTTGCAGAGTTTTTAAAAACGCGGGTAATAATTTTGAGTGGACCTCGTGAATGTGAAGCAGGAAATATTATTTTAGTTTGAAAAAGGAGATGATACTTTACAGAATCGGTAGCTAAACCAAAAGATGCTCCTCAGAGGGAATCCTCGTTTCAATTCACGGATTTGGAAGCGTATTTGCTATATCGTATATACTACTTACTTGATATACGTATAATACCGTTAATTATTTTAATTTGGAAACTTTTATTTTTGATAAATTGAGTTGCCTGGTGGTACAATTTTGTTCAAATATTGAGTTGATTTATCGCTTCATTATCAGTGTCTAATTTAGCAATTTTTTTTTGGTTTTCTTGTTATCGTGATCATTGTTTTATTATAATATTAATAAATTTGATTAATTACATGAATTATATATATATATATTTTTTTAAATCTGATAATTGTCTCTCTTGTGAAAGAAAATAACTAATTCTGATTATTAGAGGGTTTGTCATCACGCTACAAAGGAAGAGATTGATATATAGATTTTCTTATGACCACATCGATGATATTAATAAATTATTATTAAAACATAAATTATTATACAAAATAAAGTGTGTATATATATATATATATATATATTAAGTAAACCCAATAATCAGTTTTCCTTGAGAAAAAACAAATAATCCCAATCACTAAAGGTTTGTCATCCCACCATAAAAGAAGTAGTTGGTATGTAGGTTTTCTTATGACCATTTTGGTGATATTAATAAAGTTATTATTAAAGCATTTAGACGACGGAGATGTGTATGAGTATCATCATAACAAAATTGGAAAGGATTCCTTCTTCTTTGTCATTTGAGATGGAGTAAAAAACCATTTTTATGAAATTTGATGAATGCCTTGAAAATATGGCAATCTGCGCAGGATCCGACTTTTTTACAATTGATTCAACACTGATTAGACCTCGCAGGATATGATAATATTCCTTCAGATTTATATATTTTGTACTGAAATAAAATCCAATTTACATCCTAATTTTTAAATATAATACATTTTGGACAGATGAATTGTTATGCGGATTTTTGCGTGAGTTGGGTTATTTGATATGCAGATCCTGTTTTGCAGGCTTCTTCTGCTTGTCCGAGAACCTACTACCAGCAAAAAGCAACGACAGGGAACGTGAGGAAAGTTTTTTAAACTAAAATTGGATATACTACAGGCCGTCATCAAAAGTTATATGCCTTCAACCTCCAACCAAGCTAAATTTTTTGCCACAATGTGTCAACTCAAGGAGCAGTTTAGTAGAACAAAGCAAGATTTTTTTTTTTTTTTTTTCTAATCATCGGATTTCCAGACCAGTTTACGCGTATCTCAACTAATCCCTAGAACCTTAGAATTGTTGATCGGGTCAGAGCCCCAATAACCATTCTTATTAGGGTCTGGGAGACTCAACTCATGAAATTTTTTTTGTTCTTTTACCATCAAGTCATTATATGGTTGTCAGAATAAAGCAAGATTCACAATTCATGGACTTGAAGAGTTGTTATTTCCTTAATTAACATTCTAAATGGTTTTCTAAATGTCATTAAGGAGATTGTTTAAGCTTAGTAAATGTGAGTTTTATTAGAGTAGGGGATTGAATAAGGTAAAAATTCTTAGAATATTTAGAGAAATGATAGATATCTTTTTCTAATCAATTCCCATTTAGCATATCTTCTATTCAATAAATCCATGTGATTTGCCAAAGATAATACTATATATTTTATACTAAATTTGGGCACTACGTAAAGCAAAGAACTTCTCCTCATATCCCTTAAATAGTTAGTTTCAGAATTACGCAACAAAAAGTTATAAAACACTATGTGCGAGTAGAGTTTATAGTAACTATCTCTTGCCTCCTCTCAAGTTTAAGAAAATATAAACAAAGCCTCAGAAGTATGAGAGACCATCAATAACGTCCTTCCAAAAAGTTGGAAAATTCACCACTTACCTCCCTTTAACCATGAATTCTAATGAGTATAATTAACATGATGATTTTGATATTTCCTTAGGTAATAAGCCTTGAATCAGATAGTGTACTGTACTGTTATATTATATGAATGTAAATCATTTCATTCTTTTTATACAAGTCAACTGAGTTCATCAATCAAACAGAATATTTCTTCATAAATGGTAAATGTGATAGAATAAATAAGGCAGTAAAAGCCTGAATGTTCTGTCATGATTATTAGCACACTAGGATATTACATAAAAAGGGCTGAGATTAGAAATCCAGTTCTTGATTATTTCATAACCCAATCTAATTAAAACAAACCTGGAGATTATTATAATCGCCTGAAGAAGAGATTATAAATACAACTTCTTATGATATATAATCAACCAAGGCTGAGATTGTTGGGGCCAAATCCTCCTCCTCCTCCTCCTCCTCCTCCTTGAGGGAAGTTAGCATTGTACAGGCGAAAAGCGTACAGGTTAGGTGCTCCATTTGATAGTGCCGTTGCTGATTGATAATCTCCATCATCAACTAATCCGTAATTTAGATTTGGATCCTCATATTTTGCTTCCTTTATTTCCAAAATGTAATTAAAATTTAACAAAAATGATAATCAAGTTGCCCTATATACACTATCAAGAAAGGAAATAAAACAATAAAGTGAAGAGTCTTACAAAGTTGAGCAGGATGTTTCCATGTCTTTCCTCCAAGCTTTTTAGCTGCCAATTTGATCACAAGAAAAAAAAATAGTGAAATAACTGAATGTGGGTACCTTAAAGAAACAAAAATAATCTGTTTAGTTTTGACCTTCTTCTTGTATGTGTCAGTCTGAGTTTTGATCACATGGTACTGTAAACAACAATGAAATTACAACTGTTAGCACAGATTAAACATCTAACACCCAAACCGAGACAGAAGCTTACAAAAAAAAGAGGTCCATTAACAGGTCTAAAAAGATCCAACCTTTCTTTCACGGACGGCATCAGCTGCAGCGGTCACCTTTTGCTCAAGACTGCTCAGTTCATCCATGCTTAGATCGTCTAAATCTTCACCAATCCTTTGCCTTTAAATACGTACATATACCCTTATCAACTTTACTCTAATTTATTAACTCAAAAATCATAATTAAATACCATGACAAAAGACATAACTAAGAAAGAATTTAGGAGTTACCTGATCTGCTTCCTTAGCTTATCATTGACATCTTTCAGTTTCTTGTAGGTCTCTTGCATTCTCTGCAAAAAAACATAACACATAAAACTTAATTGCAACGACAAAATCTTCTAAACCTCACAAATATATATATAAATCAAGCACAAGATCTTGTAAGATAGTAGTACTGACCCCGTAGTGCGTGCTCCACAGGTCAATTCCAAGAGTGTTCTGGTATTGATCAAAGATATTTTTGGTCCTAATCAACAAGAAAATTAAAGATTTTCATTAGGGTTTGACATGCATATAAAAAGAGAGAGAGTGATGGATCTGTTAGCATACGTTGTGGTAGGGCTAACGAACTCATGAAATTTGCCAGTGTTAGAAAACATGATTAGAGAAACCTTAGCATCACAGAGAACTGTGATTTCTTGTGCTTTCTTAAAAATACCATTTCTTCGTTTAGAGTAAGTAACCTGTCTGTTGGTAGGGTTCTCAATCCTCTTAATCTCGATCTTTCCGCGACCCATTTGTTTCCTTCTTCTTGTATGAAACCACAACTAGTACTGCTAGTTATTTTACAATAGAATTACTAAACAAAATGATGAGAGCTAAGGGGTGTGGCCTTGCATAGGCTTTTCAAGGGAAAGAGAATAAGAAAAGAAGGAGACGCAATAGAATTACTAAACAAAATGATGAGAGCTAAGGGGTGTGGCCTTGCATAGGCTTATCAAGGGAAAGAGAATAAGAAAAGAAGGAGACGGAAGTGGGAGTTTCCATATCTGGAAGTGGAGATAGAAAGTAGGAGTGTTGTTTAACTAAGAATATTTGCTCAATTGATGAATCAGCATTATTATTGTTAGGCAAGCGTCATGCATATACTTATAACATGTGATGTGGGGAAGTGCTTGGACCGTGACTAGAGGATCAGAATCAATTCGATAAGCCCTTTCCACCCACCCAACCTCTTTACTGACGTTGTTAATATAACAATTATGTTGAATCAAGTGAAGAAGAGGATCAAATTATATAACAAATTGGAAAGGCTTTAGTACTCCAAGTGTGTGCAATCGCATTAATATCTTATACGTACTATTGATTCAATATAACTTTGAAACACATTCGGTGTTTTTTAACCCTCTATTTCAATAATGGAGAATTGACACTGAAAGATCCGACGAATCAGAAACAGTTTGCAAGTCATTGTAAGTCTAAATCTTGGAGAAACAGGTTAACGTTATTAGGAGAGCCTAGCTGGGAAACAGGTTCTGTCCTGGTCTAACTACATATTTCTAGGCTTGGTGCCAGCTTTGAGATCTCTTCACAATGATCAATTCTTCATCGTCATCAAAAGCTGCACTTCCTTGGCTTCTAGTCCTTGTCTTAAGCTCTATCTATTTGTAACTGAATAGTACTCTTACTATATTAAGTGAATACACCATAAAGTTTGTATTAACTATTACTATATATATAGTTAAACGGTAGACTCAAACCCTTTCTAATACTTGCATATATTACTTCAAACTTCAAAATTCATCAATTTAATGTTTCTAAAAGGGTAGTTTCCTTTTGCAGAACTTCACGTGAACGCCTGCAGTGCGTTTATATTGGTTTTGTGTTTATGATTTATACTGCGATAAACTGATTTAATTAACAAAAAGGTGCATACGCATGCAAAATACATAGATTAGAATTATTTTCTTCCCAGATAAAAGAAAGTTATACGAAGCATTTTGAACTTCTCAGCCTGCCCATGATTCCACTATAGAAGTAGATCTGCTGGATTTGATGCTCAGTAACTCAGTTAAGATAATTATTTGTATGATTCCCAGATTAGTTACTGAGAAATTGAATGATTAATACATCAGAGAAAAGTATAATGAATATATGTTATATTAAGTTAATACAGATGCTTTTAGTTTATAAAGGTTCGATTGGAGCAGTGGGGCAAGAATATCTCATAGGGGCGTCTGGTTTAAGGAATGTTAGATTATTAGAAAGTTATATAGATTACCTTAAAGATTATTGAGAATCTTTAGAAAAATATGTTTGGTTAGTTGGAATAAATTGGTGGGTATGTTTTTTTAATATTTTTTGTTGGAAGGAATAAATCGGTGGGTATGTTGTTTAAATTACTGAATTGTCCTTTAATTAAATATTATTATTATATTGTTTATAACCCCCTACATTTAAAAACTTAGCAAAAACAACCTTATAATAAAAGTTTGAAAAATCAATAATGCACCCCCATCAACCCAGACACTGTCGGCCGCTAGAAGCTGGCAACGTAATGGCGCATGGAAGGCATGAAATGGCCTCTATGCCCCGTATGGCCATTTTTGACAGTTTGAAAATGGCCTTAGGCTCCGTTTGTTTCGCATTTGGGAATACTATTATTAGTATTCCCAAAAAAGTTAAACAGTAAAATGTCATTATTCTCAAAATATTATTCTATATTTTTCAATTTGTTTTAAACTTCCTAAATTTGTTAATTTAACAAAACACCCTCAAATAATATTTTTAGAAATTGCAAAAACACTCAGGCCACCCTCCGACGGTGGTGGCCGGCTGTCCGTATTTAATGTGTAGGTTAGGGGTATTTTTGTTAACTTTTAATATTTTACATAGGGGATATTTTATTAATTTTTAAATCTTACATCGTAATACCCGCCCAATTTAACTTTTTTCAAAAGATTATTCTAAAAACTATCATAATAATGACCAAACGAAGCCTAAATTTTTGCAAAATTTGCGTGGGACCGTGGTCTCCATTCATCATTCATTGGATCCGCCCCTGCGATCAATGCTCAGCTGTTGCATGCATATGCTGTACAGGAATTAAATTTTATGTTTAGAAAACTAGTGAATAGATATATAACTCCAAACTGTATATGTCTTAGAACAATACAAGATTGAATCCTCAATGTTTCCAGAAGAGAGAGATTTATTGGCCATTCTATTTTGTTTTTAGGCATTGTCAGCCATCAATATCTAGTGAAAGGAAAGTGGCGGTACGCGAGTGCATCAGCATGGTTTCTTCCCTTACTTTTGGACTTCTTTAGAGAGAAACAAGTTGGAGCTGGATCGATAGTTTAAGTTGAAAATTTCAAATTTTTTACACCTCCTAACTGAGACCTTATACCAATTAAAGCAAACCATTACTCAAGAAAATATCCAAACAAATCACTCAAGTCATTGTAAGACACTATGTATAACTATATAAATAGCAATGCAAACATCCTATGACTTGTACAAGCCCTTGCATTTATAAACACTGCTACTTCTCAGTTCTCTCACAAAGCACTCTCAATAACGTCCTTTCAATAAACTGATGGCCAATGACATCTTACAAGCTCACAACGTTCGTGTTTCAGAGAGTGGAAAAAGATATATAGTACTTGGACATGGAATGGGCACTGACCAATCAGTGTGGAACAGACTTCTTCCATTTTTCACTGGTATGTATCGTGTCATTCGCTACGACCTAGCCTGTGCTGGTAGCATGAATCCTGATTCTTTTGATATTATAAAGTACGCTACCCTTGATGGGTACGTAGATGACCTACTTAACATTCTCGACGCTCTTGGGGTTGATCGCTGCGCTTTTGTGGGTCACTCCATATCCGCAATGATTGGAATCTTGGCTTCCATTCGGAGACCTTAGCTCTTCTCCAAGCTCATTCTTCTTTGTGCTTCCCCAAGGTAAATCATTTAGATATTCAAAGTTTAATCTAGTCAGATTTTATAAGCTTAATCAGAATTTAAAATTTATGCATTCAGATTTTTGAATGACGACAACAACTATCGTGGGGGATTTGACCGAGCGGAGGTACAGAAAATGTTTGCAGCAATGGAGGCAAACTATGAGGCATGGGTTTATGGGTTTGCACCGGAAGCAGTGGGTGCAGACTTGCCAGAAGTTATTAGAGAATTTAGCCGGACCCTATTTACAATGAGGCCCGATATATCATTGTTTGTTTGCAGAACAATAGTCAACACTGATATAAGGAGCGTGCTAGGCCAAGTGAGGGTACCATGTTGCATCATTCACTAGGGGTGAGCACGGGTAGCGGGTAGAACCGGAACCGGGGGTAAGAACCGAAACCGGAACCGGAATCTACCCAAAACCTGCACTGTGCGGGTAGGTTCCGGTTCCAATTTTTTGGAACCGCTACTGTGCGGTTCCGGTTCCGGTTCTTACCCCCGGAGGAACCGGAACCGGAACCAGAACCTGTAAAAAGGGTACCCTGTTTGGAACCTGTAGGGGGTACCCTGTTTGGAACCTGTTTTAGAACCTGTTTGGAACCTGTTTTGGAACATGTTTGGAACCTGTTTTGGAACCTATATTGGAACCTGTTTAGAACCTATTTTGGAACCTGGACTATAATGAAATATTTGTGAAATGTAAATAATGGGGGAGTTTCTATTATTTTACATATAAAAAAATTTAAAATAGAAAAAGTTAAATTTTTAGAATAACCTAATTAAATAAAAAAAATACGAATACAAATACTATTACATAAAATACACCATATTAAAAGCTTTAATATATTATAATACATTAATATTAAAGTTTTGATCAATTAGTGAATAATTGGAATTATGATCCAATTAAAAGTGTTTTACATTTTTAATGTTATTAAAAGAATTATTTTGTGAATAAAATAGTATATTTGATTGAGTAATAATATATTTAGTTATTTACTTCAATTATCAAGTTCTAAGTATATCTATAATAAATTGTAATTAATTAATATATTGATAAATTGATAAACATTAATAAATTTAATTACTAGTTAATATCATACTTAATCAATATAACATACATTATAGTTAAATGATTACTTAATTAATTATAATTTTATAACATTACTTAATTGATTTATAGTATAATAATTATAGCATTACATTAATTGATTACTACTTAATTAATTGACTTTATTATAACATTAGTGCAAACTTAATTAAATGATTAAAAATTAATTAATTATAATATTACATTAAAAATTTATAGTATAATTATTAATAGTTAATTTACTATAACATTACATTATAGTATGATTATATAATAATATACATTACATAATTAAATAATTATAATTGATTATGAGTTATGAATTATGTTTTAAACATTAGTAATTATAATTTGCTACATAAACATTAGCACAATACTAATTAAAGATAAGAATTAATAATTATAACATTACCTTATAATATTTCATTATAAACATTAATTAAACTTACATTATAGTTAAATAATACTCAATTAAATTATAATTATATATTACATTATATTATGATCACTTACTTAATTATAGCATTACATAGTTAAATGATTACATAATACATAATTAGTTATGAATTTATAACATTACATTATAAACATTGTAATTTACTAATTTACTATATTACATTACTTATAAACGATTAAAAATTTAATTAATTATAACAACCTTATATATCTATATATAATTACTTAATCAATATAACATTCATTATAAACATTAGTATTTAATCAAATGATTTGAAATTTAAAATTATAATATCAAATTATAGATTTATAGTATGATTATTTAATTCATTAACATTACATTATACTA